ACAAACCTCCTTCCACTCAATTTCATCTAACTGATAAATGCACAAATTTTCCACTCCTTTCTCCCTCATGCATTTATTTAGCTTTCCTTAAAACACATCTACACTATAGGCCCCAAATTATTCCCTGTGGTTTCAAATTCCATGTTCCAGCAAATTTTAGGGTAGAGGTACCCTCCCAAAGTAGTGCCTGTATGGTATCTAAGGCCCCTACTTTTGGTTACTTCCACAACTAGAAACATCATCTCCACAACTACCGATCATCAGAAAATGTCGCATAAAGATACTTTGAAAATATTAATTGTAGATTTACTGGTTTAAGATGGGGTTTAAAAAAATACAAGTAAAACCGAAAAAAAAAACTGCAGATGCTATAAATCAGAAACAAACACAGAAATTGCTGGGAAAGCTCAGCCGTTCCAAGTCCTGAGGAAGGCTCACTCGACCCAAACGTTAACTCTGATTTCTCTCCACAGATGCTGCTAAACCTGCTCAGCTTTACCAGCAATTTGTTTTTGTTAAAAAATACAAGATGTCCTGGTGTCAATTTAAGCATAACTCCAATTATTTGCATAGTGTGAGTACCTTAGCCAAAATTGAAAACTAGTACTGACTTGTTTAGCTATCTGAAAAGTTTCAGTGCAGTAATTCCCAAACATTTCCCGTGTGACCCCATTTCTGGCCTTTAAAATTGGAGGAGAAAACGCAGTGAGAACTAAAAAGCTAATTTTTTTTTGGGGGGGGGGGTCAAGAATTATTAAAACTGTTCATAATTTGGTCATAGTTCCACAACAGCCACTGCTGCCTCAGACTTAGAGGTCCCAAAATTCCTGACTTCTGCTCCAACGCCACTTTGGCAAAACTTGCCTCGTATGAAGATAACAACTAAAAATAACAACTTTCATTGTTGTAAAAAGCAAGATCCATTGTTTCATAAACATTCTGGTTTTATAATGATATGCAAATATGCAAGTAATAAGTCATGTTGTATTTGGACATTAAAGAGGACAATTTCCTCCACCCGTATACTTCATTAACAAACAAATATCTAGTTGGAATTCTTCAGTCTGAAGATCAATATTTTCCTTGTGTATCATTATGCTGGTCAGTGCAAAAACATTTATGACGTAGAGAAAAATTAGTTCTCAATAATAAATGACTTTCCAGTGATTATCCTATCCAATCATTAGCAGGAATTAATTAAGGTAAGCAATTATTGTTTTTAGCACCAGTCTACTTCCTTTTCAAAAAAAAAATTGCTTCACCTCATTCCAGATAACAATTTTTCTGGAAAAAGCAAGGCTGAGAGCATGCCAAGAACGAGGACAATAAATGACAATACTATTGATATCTGTCACATAAACATATTATTATAAAACAAATTTGGAGTTAAAAGAAATAGAATATTTTACCACTGAAGTTAAATGCAATAATAGTATTATTAATAGAAAAAAACAAAAATGGTGGTTACAACAAAAGCAATTTTGCCCCAATTAGTTGTCAATAGTGTATTACTGAGCATCAGGTATGATCAACACATCTGCTCAAAAAGAAAAAAAAAGGCTACAGGAAATTAT